AGTTTTCGGAAATAGTTTTTCAGAATGTTAAAGAGAACGCATTTTCAGAAATTTCAAAACAGACACTTAAAACACAATACACAAAACAAATTCAAAACTCAAAACACAAAACTGAAATACAAAGAGAACGGCACCTTAGTTTTTTAGGCGGTGCTGGTTGCTGTCCCCGTGCTAATTATGTGGACACATCTTAATGCATCAGAATTTTAATTGGTGACATTGGATACGAGGTAGTTTGTGCACTGCAGTTGTGTAGTAAGGTATCTATTTCATAATGAGAGGCTTGGACACCTGGATCATATAGTTTATTGTGTGGTCTTTAACTCATATGGGATACTCACACTCTCTCGTATACCCCCACTTGTGTAAAGAGGAAACTGGATGTATGGGGTGAAATTGAAAATGATGCCAGTAGTCGATGATGAATAATTAATTGAATAAATATGAATGAGATATGCCCTACGACTCCCTAAACCTAGCTTTGGTTCCATGTTAAAGCATTGACATTTGAGTTTTTACTGTCCAAGAGCATATACTAGTTTTAATCTTGTATTTCTTTTGACATTAGAAGAAGCTCTAAATGTCATTTGTCACGGCTTGTTAAGGCATGCAAAATGAAAGTTAGCTATGTGCTAATAAAGCAACTCAAGAATCTTTTGTTGTTGCAGGTGCTGTCCATAAGAACTTGTGCCAAGTATCTTAAAAGAGTTGTACTTAGATCATCTAAACATGAGAAATTCAGTATTTCACATTTCCGGGATTTCCTCAACTAAAATGAGTAGAATAATGCAAGGTCTACGCTCAATTTGACAGCCCCTTACAACGGGGGAAGGGCCTGAAATTTTAAAAATTGCGGGCCCCACTCCCTTGTGAGATGGCTGTCATCCATGATATACACTAAGGGTGTACATTAGCATTTCTCTAAGGAGTATTATGCAGATGTAGTAGGTAGACAAATGGGCCACTGTATTTTTCCTTCGTGAAGCTACAGGTATTATAATCACATTGTGATTGCTGCTATCAGAGATAACACCATTACAATTTTGAGTCTTTCCATAGACTCCTGAAATGCTTTATATTATTCTTATTACCATTTAGAAAACCCGGGCATTAGGGATATCTACCTTTTTTGTCATATTTGCAGTTATGTACATTATATATGTATAGCTTTGTAATGGAAATATTCGTGAAGGCATAGTCACAATTATTTCTTTTGAAATTCATCAAGTGTTTATTTTGTCACGCATTTGTATGTAGCCGAATGAAAAACATGTATAGATTCTATGCACATTCCCTAGTAGCCAATGTTTGTGGGCGATTTTTCCCAAGTAGTACTTTATAAGATTTGGTACATTTTGATGAATTCTATTTTACTGTGAAAGTTACGTTTAAGTATTATGATATTTAAATCCTGTTTTTTTTCGTTGACTTCTTCCTTTAAATCTTTCTGTTGGCTGAACTCATTAGAGAAGTTGAATAATATTCTCTTTTGAACATTTTAATGAAATACTTGATTAGACCTGCCGATTTTGTTGTCCCTTTCCTTGTGTTATTGCTTAGATTCAAACGCCAATGTACCAATCAAGTTGACGTGATGGATGACTTGATGGGTTAATGTCCATAGATTTCTTCCGAAAAAATGCTAGTTGTACATCAAAAAGTGTACATCAAGGTCTATATCTCCTCACATGGAGAGGTCCACTAGAATAAAATATTCAAGCGGACCCCTTACCCATGTGAGGGGGG